CCTGAGAGTTAGAAGTATTCATCAACTCCATTGTCCAACAGGCCTGAAAGTTAGATGTATTCATCAACTCCATTGTCCAACAGGCCTGAAAGTTAGATGTATTCATCAACTCCATTGTCCAACAGGACTGAAAGTTAGAAGTATTCATCAACTCCATTGCCCAACAGGCCTGAAAGTTAGATGTATTCATCAACTCCATTGTTCTAACAGGCCTGAAAGTTAGATGTATTCATCAACTCCATTGTCCAACAGGCCTGAAAGTTAGAAGTATTCATCAACTCCATTGTCCAACAGGCCTAAAAGTTATGCTAAAATTACGTCAACTGCAGATGTTTTGTTCCCCTATTCCTCTTAATTTGCTCATTACGGATTCAAAATCTTCAGTTTAAGTGATTTTGATCACAAATTTTAGCTCCATTGGTTTCTAATGCTTCACCATCTTTCAGCATTTAAAACGTAGATTTTAAAATCCATTAACTGCTTCTAAGTATGATTGTTTGTTTGACATTTAGCAAAGCCACAATGAGCTATCTGGCATGTCCACCGTGGTGAATCGAACCACGGATTTTAGCATTGTAAATTTACCACTGTCCCACCAGGGGACTTTAAGCATGATAAGCACGTTGAGTATTTAGAAGCCTGTGCTTATTGAAACCACGATCGTTATCTAATACTCCAGAAATTTCATAATGTTGTAACATTTTAAAGTCACTTCAAAGTGAATCTTGCGTGGCCTAGTAGTTAGCGTATCCGTACTGCGAACACGAGAATTCACAGTCTGCCACCATAGAAATACGTTATGTGCCTTGGGTTGCGAGTGTGCTGGGATCTTAACAATCAAACCCCACTGTTCGATCAAGAGTTGGCAGTGGGTGCTGTTGACTAGCTGCCTTACTTCTAGTCTATCAGTTCAAAATTAGGGACGGCTATCTGGAGATAGCCTTTCACAATATCCTGAAACAAATGAACACTCCAAGTTCAAATACACTGTTGTCTCTCTAATTCTATTATGCTGTTGTAATTTGCGATTGCGGCGCCATCTGATGCACACGTGGATAAAACGGTTAGTGATCCTTAAGATTCAGATATAGCCGTTCCCAGTTTTGAACAACTGATCAGAGGGAAGACAGCCAGCCTGTAGCATCCGCCGCCACAAGGGCATCACGTCTCGAACCCTGAATCTTTCGATGTGCAGCCCAAAACGCTAACCACTAAGTCTCACCAAGTCGCTGCCCCTACCCCCACTGGCACAGTGGTAAGTGAGCGTGGCACAATTAGCCCATTGTGTAGCTTCGTGGTTAACTACAAACAAACAAACACAATTTTCGTAATACTTCTTAAATCCTCACCACATGCTAATGTTGCAAGGCAATTAGTCAAAGCTAAGAGGACATAACTGCATAAGAAAACATTGTAGTGTGTTATCAAGAAACTGTCCTTGATTACTGGAGCTTGAAATGAAATTAAATGCATATCGACAGAGGCATTGAAAAACAAAGATTGGCAATTTTTTGTGATTTTTACATAACAAATACACTAGGCTCCACAACCAGGTACACTGGCCCCATAAACAGTATATCACGTTCCTTTTATTCCAAGCATAACACACTGGCCCCATAAACAGTATATCACGTTCCTTTTATTCCAAGCATAACACACTGGCCCCATAAACAGTATA